CGCGACAGCAGCACGGGGCTGCGGCAGCTCCCGCGAGGGCCACATCCCGCAGCCCCGCGGGTGGGAGGAAGGAAAGAAGGGGCCACCCCGGCACCGGCACCGGGCAGGGCACGGGGAGGGCTCGCCGCTCTCACATTGCAGGGAGGGTGTCGCTTGGAAGGGGACGGTGGCGGGCGATGCATGTTGTGCCCTGCGTGGGGAGATGCCGCTCCACGTGCATGATGGTGAAGGGCTGGACCAGAGGACGGTGGCTACTGGGACTCGCTTGGGTTTGGCCCCATCACCCCTCCCCGGCTGCTGAGCGGGCACAGCCCGGCTCTTTCCCGGCTCTCCTGCCCTCCATCCTGCCCTGAGCTCCGGCGTGGAGGGAGGAGGAGGAAAGGACGGTGCCCCGAGAGTGGATGGGACGGAGCAGGGGGTGCCTCTGGGGTGGGAGCCACGGGGCAGAGAGCAGGACGGAGGGTGCCGCTGAGCCCCTCGTCAGAAAGCATCGAGTGAGGGGGGCTCTGCCTCACCCAGGGCAGCTCAGCTGCTGGGGGGGCATCTGGGGACATTACAGGGGTCCCGCTGGGTCCTTCCCCCCTCCTGGGAGACTCAGCACCGGGGCTGAATCGAGCCCGGCTGCCCCAGAGCAGCATCTCCTGTCCCTGCGGGCAGGGACCCCTCTCCCCAGAGCTCGGATGGGTCCAGCTCTGGACCCAGAGCTCCGTAGCCATCCCAGCACTCGTCTGCCTTTTCCTCTCCACCCCGGCTGCTACTCAGCCCCCCGAGGCTGGGGTACGAGTGAGACATACCAAGACAGGGCACGCAGCCCCACTGCCCATCCCGTGCCACCCAGCAGCGCGGCGTAACCACCGTATGGCTGTGCTCTGCCGCCAGGCCACGGCGCCGGCTGCACGCAGAGCCCCCGGCCAGCGCAGGGCTCGGGGGTGGGGCAGAAGCCCCATGGCTGCAGATGCAGGAGGGCACCTCTTCTGCCAGAGCATCTCTCCAGCTCGCCTTCCCTCCCCTCCGCGGAGCGCACGGCCGGCTCCGCTCCCCCGGGCATCGCACGGCTCGTTGCATCTCCCCCCGGGACAGGAGCAGAGCGGTGCGGGAGGAAGGACAGCATTTTCTAGGTGACTTCTTGCTGCTCGGGGTTTTAAAGGTCTGGTTCTCCCTTGGCAGCTCATTTGCGGTGGCTCGTCCCCTGCCTCTGCTGGGAGCAGCAGTGTCCTGCGGGGCCGAGAAGCCCGCAAGGAGCGAGCTCTTGCTCTCGCACCAGTGCCTTCCCAGTTTATACCAGCATGGGAGAAATCCGTCAGTCAGGTTTCCAAAGGCATTTGGGAGGTGCAGCAACACCGACTCGTTCTTACTAAAGACTCCAGGCGAGTTATTACCAAAATCTCCCAGAGCTGGGTTGCCGTAAGCACAGTAGAAGAG